AATTCCTTTTGTGATAATGTGATCGGTCCCTCTATGTATAATTCTTGGCTCTGCGCCCTAATATTAGTAGTGGTTGACCAACATCATCAGCATGCATGCGCGCATCGCTGCGCAATACGACGCAGCTTGGCGAGACATCTTCGCTTCACGGCAGAGCACGGATGCACGGTAGTGTTGTGTCCTGTCACCTGTGTAGTGCAGTGAGCCCAGGAGGGACAAGCCGACAAGGCCCAGGTTTGTTTCAAGTCCATGGGATTCGATCGGCTAGATTGTGGCCTGCAGTTTCCACCACATGGGTCGAAAATTCGCGGTAACAGAACAGTTATCGATCTATTGTCTTATTATTTTATTTGGCCAAAAAGGGGAGCATTCGCGCATATAATTGTATCCTAAACGGGCTCTTGTTATATAAATTGTCTTGTTAATACAAGGGCTTCTTGTATAGCCTTTAGATTGCAAATTTTTCTCTTGTTGCCACACGTTTCGTTTGTATTTGACAAACTTTGTCCGATCATGTACTAACTAGGCTCAAAAGATTCGTATCGTGATTTACAACCAAACTGTGTAATTAGTTATTTTTTTAGCTATATTTAATGCTCTATGCATGCGTCTAAAATTAATGTGATGGAAAGAGAGTGAAAAAACTTGAAATTTTGAGGTAATCTAAACAAGACCATAGTTGTCCACCACCTTTGCAACTGATGAACTGATCCCATGATCCCATTCCCTTAGCAGCTACTACGTGCCTACTACGTACTGCCTAGTAGTAGTTCACAAGAAACAGTGCATCTGCAGGCAAGTCTTTGTAATCGATCGAGCATGGGTTTATTTCTTTTTTCCAAGAACGTACGCAGGCATCAGGTTTTACACGGGAACGGGATTGGCGATGGCTGGCACCGTTGCCGTAAAGGAGCGTGATTTCTTAAGCATGACAACACGTCAACATGAGCTACTGCAGCGTCGCCGTTGCGCAGGCAGTTAGCTCATTACACTGTCTCCGACGACAAACCCACATGGCCACCCAATCTAAAATGAATAGCAAGAGATATAAAATCAGTTTTCAACATAGTACTTATATGAAAGACCTATTTTGGGTTGACTGAGAGACACAACCTAAATATGGACATCCTCTCTCTAGAAACCCATTTGCAGAAATGATTTTTTTTTGGGTCTCGTTGTTGGAGAAGATGCCGAATAGATATTGAACTTTTTTCCTGTAGCGCTACTCAAAGGACGAATGAGTTTTATATTTTGGATGTTGTTGTTGGAGATCCTTAGCTGGTTAGGTTAGGTTTCCTGTGCTCTGCGTTTCCTGTGCTCTGCGTACGTACGCGTCCCTAGCTAGCTATCCCTTTCGTCGTTAGGCAATAGGAGGCATATAGATGGCCGTCTGGGGCAGTTGCGTCTTGCGTGTATGTAGTGTTAAATGGCAGGCAGAGGCAGGAGCATGCAGCAAGGGCCTGTTTGGATGACGCCCTGGCCCCTGGCTGCCTGCCAGGCAACGCATCCTGGCCACAGGCACAAGAAATCGGACGCCTGGCATTCTTGCCTGTCTTGTGAGTTGCCTGGCAGTCACCATCCAAACAGGCCAAATGCGAACGATTCGTGAGGCGCCCACTTTCCTCCTCCCCCTCTGCGTACGCACGCGTCTACTAGCTTTTACATTTTCTTTCTCACAAAAAAGAACTCCACTCCACGTATCATGGATCGATCAGCGAGCTGGTGAGCCTGTGACTGACTGTGATGATGGAGCTGTGAAGGTCACTGTCTCCCCTGAATCTGGGAGACACACTTTGTCCGTGTTGGCGAAATGTCACAACACGAGCTGTGAACCTGATCGATAGATGGCCAATAAACAGTGCACCTATGACCTATCTCTGCCAGCATGCATATGCAGAGACGACGGCTACATCTGCGCGCGCGTATGGCTGTGGGCCGTGGCCGCATCACCGCATGTGACGTCGGCGGCGGAGAGGACGGTTCTGCAGCTTGTCAAAGCTGCCAATTGCCATGCAGGTTGTTGCGAGAGCGCGTCTATCAGGTGCAGGTGCAGGTGCAGGTGCAGGTGCAGCGATGCTATACGGCGGGCGTAAAACTCACCAAACCGAACCATCTGACCCGGAAGAGGAGGGGCAAGAAAGATAGGTCGACAAGTGCCGGCCGGCCGGCCGAACACGAAACGACCTAGCGCGATCTCGGGCTCATGACGAACGGCGCAGCACAACCTGGTCCAGTCCAGGTTCAGTCATCGACCAGCATGCATGGACCAGTACTGGAGCAACACGCGAGGACCTACTGTCCGTGTGTTCTCTCGATCGCTTCATCGGCCGGCTTGGGGACTTCGTGTCTGACGCTGTGATGCTGGCTGCAGCACGCACGGCACGGCAAGAACGCACGCACCTGGGAAGCAACAGAGGATGGAGGGAGACGGGGGCAAACAAAATCCCCCCGTGCGTCGTGGGCATCGGCGCATCGCAGATGGCGATGGCCATAGCCCATAGCCCATAGCTTAGCTAGCCTGCCCGTTGGACGTACTTGGGCGCCGGCGGTTGCTTTCGGGGCGTCGTGATCAGCCAGATCCGTTGGTCATCCGCTCCCGTTTCGTCCGCGGACAAATCAAACAGCTAGCTGGCACACATGCCACACAGCTCCGGAAGTCTGGATGCCGCTATACTGCACGCACGCTTACCATTGTCGCTGCAGTGGAAACTTCTCCTGCAGAGACACTGTCTGCCTTTTTTGCGATTCGTTTCAGAATTCAGATCAGATGGCCTTCGTTCGTTCCGCGCCAAGTGGTGTGCATGGTTGATCCGGCCCAAAGGAACCAATCAAAAGGGTGTTGAACAGTGGCCTTCTTTGTATCGTATATGGGTCGTTGCATGGTCACCGCTACATCTGTCTTTACAGGCAATCAAACACCGTGCCTTTGTAGGTGTACGTCAAAGCATCGACAATTACAGGATTACTGTATCCGCCTATATATTTAAACAAGCACTCACTTTTCATGTCACCGCGCGCGTCCAGTTCACCTGCACACCTGGCAACCGCATCCACGTAAGGCCTCGTTTGGATACACGTGTATTCACCTTAATTCACATGTGTTGGAGTGGAATGGAATAAAATTTAGTTTAATTTTATTCTAATCCACTTCAACACACGTGGATTGAGATGAATACATGCTCATCCAAACATGGCATAAATGAGTAGCCTGCAAGTCTGCTTAAACTCATCAATCAGGCATTACGGCTGCTCGATCATCTGCAGGGACGTTTGTTCGTAAAGCGATGGCTCTGCGAACTTTATAATAATCTAAACCATATTTACTAGTGCTAAATATATATGATGCTCCCTTTCCCTTTTGCAACTTTAGGTTCAACGGAAATATATATATGATGCTTTTGTGGAGACACGATCGTACCTTCCAAGTGTAGGGACAAAGCATCTTCTGGTTAGTTGGAAAAGATGATAGCAAAGTGAGCACTGAGCATGAGCAGCACACTCACTCCACAGTACTCCCACTCCATCACCTTTTTTTCAAGCTACTTCCAAGGTTAAGGAGCTGTATCTTTCCGTTGCAATATTCATTGGCTGGAAATGCCATATATAAACAAATCAAGGTGCACACAGCATATTCGACCATAGTTCAGATTAGAATTAGATGATGGTAGCTTCCAAGAATTTCAGAGCATCTGATCAGCATCAAGAATGCAAAGGAAGGGAACAAAGGGAAAGGACTAAGGAGAGCGTGCAGAGCACCCAAGGAAAGGAAAGGAAGGTTAAGGAAAGGAGAGGAGAGGAGGAAAAAGATGGTGAAAGAAAGCCAGGGCAGGCGAACAACCAAGTCGAAGTCGGAAGCAGTGGTAGAGGAAAAAAGAATCCCCTCACACCAAAGCAACTTTCCTCAACAGGGCACACCAAGCAGGTGCACTGCACTGCACTTCTAGAACCTGGATTCGCGCGGCGTGCTCCCGGGCCTCGACGATTAGTAAAACCAATACTACTAGTCTATTATCCACGCCATCATGGCAAGAGTTACCGTTGGTAAAAAGCTAATCTGGTCCAATCCATCCACCGCCCGTCACCGATGATTGTTTACACTAATAAATAGTAATAAAATAAAGCTCGAAGAGGGAAGAAAGCGCGCGGATCTAGCTCAACTGCGGCATCATGTTCGCGTAAGCTTTGCAGACAGAAACCATAACGGAAGGGCTGGGCTGCATGCTCTGCAGTTGCAGCGGGAGGGCTGGCTGAGGCGCGGTCAAAAACGGCCGTAGTATTCAATGGCGTACTTGTAGTTCGACGCTGGAGTTGGCAGGAACGAGGGGTGAATCGACTCGTCAAGCAATTATCGATGATTTCGTTTTCGGTCGGCCTCCGCTGTTGAAGCAGCAGGCTACGATGCGAAATGACCCTTTCCGTTCCCATCTCCACCTGCCTTGTAACCATCGCGGCAACTTCCAAGCTTTATTTTATTAGCTGGTGATGTTGGCATTAAATGTAGATAAAAAAAATAACTAATTATACAGTTTGGTTGTAAATCATGAGACGAATTTTTTGAGCCTAGTTAGTCCATGATCGGACAAAATTTGTCAAATACAAACGAAATGTTCTACAATGTTCAGATTGCAAAAATTTGCAATCTAAACCAGGCCTAGCTGGTGATGTTGGCGTCTATCTGATCACAACTATAAATCCTCTATGACTCTATGTGCTGTGCAGGTGCAGGTGCGACCCCACCAGACACACATACTCCTACATCTTCTTCCTCTACCTGCTCATACACCTCTCTGTGACTCTCTCTCATAAGCAATTAAGCATTGCCATTTCAGCACAGAGAGGAAAGGGCGTAGTGCGTGCCACAGAGCGAGACAGAGAGACAGAGGAAAGGGTGACGAGCGTTGAGGCCTGGTCCTACGCCATTGATGCGGCAACACTAGTAGCAGAGAGAGGGGCAGATGCAGCTGAGGCCAGGCTCAAGAAACCGAGAGGCGAAGGGAAGCATGGAGCCGCCGCTGGAGCCTGCGCCAGGACGGAGAGGGAGACGCCTGCTGCCGCTGCTGCTTCTGTGGGCTCTCGCCATCGCATTGGCCGGCGGTGCGACCGCGTGGCCTCACCCTCACGGTCACGGCGGCTCCGTCGGCCTTGGCGCCTCCGCCTCCGCCGGTGCTGGTGCCGGCAGGACCATGGAGGCCGGCGGCGAGCGGGGGTACAGGGATCTGGCGCTCAGGAGGATGGAGAGCGTCAGATCCTCCTTCGGGGCCAGAAGAGATTTGGCAACGGTATGTATGTCTTTCCTGTCGCATGCTTTTTCTTTCCTTTAGCTTTCGGGTCCGGGCAGGCTGTGCGCTTGCTCCTATATTACCGTGGATTATAAGTTGAAAATAGTATTTTTTTTATATCAATTTAATTAGGAGATTATAAACTGAAAATGATATTTTTTTTGACATTAAACAAATCAGTCTGCAGTCAATAATTCACGATTTTGTTCTCGCTTGATTGCGGTGCGGGTGAGGTTCAGGTGTTCATTGCTCTTTGCTCCTACCCTCCTTTTTTTATTTTTTATTTATTGTTTTTAAATTCATCATACGGTCCCGTCCTTTCCCCTTGCAGTAATGAGTTGTTTAATGGCCAGTTCGTAGCAGTCTCGTACAGTCAGTCAGTCCCCTCTCAATCTCCTCTGATCATGTCATTTGGAGTGTACGGGCACCAGCAAATTAGAGAGACAGACAGAGATAGAAGCGTCGGCTTGCTCTGCAGCTAAGCTTACTGGGAGTACATTAATTCTTGCATTTTGCAAGAAAAGTAACGGCCTTTACCACCGACCAAATGGAGCTTTGCGATTACGGCCTTGTTTAGATTTCTAAAGTTTTTTATACTCTCTTCATCACATCAAATATTTGACACATATATGGAGTATTAAATATAGATAAAAAAAACTAATTATATAGTTTGATCGTAAATTACGAGATAAATCTTTTGAGCCTAGTTAGGCCATAATTAAACAATAATTATCAAATACAAACGAAAGTGCTACATTATCTCGTACTGATTCCTCACTGACAAGTAAAACCACCCCCACCGTCTCGATTTCCGCCGGCCGTCACTCTCGATGCTCAGCAGATCCAATCATCCGAAGCCTTCCTGGAGAAACATTACTCAAAACGTCAGGCTCGTCGGTCAGCCAAGCCAACGACCACCCATAGGGCCATAGGACAGGACACAAGAGTCATACGCGAGCCGTTTCACCGATGCGCTCCTGCTGCGAGGCCGCCATTTTGCATTGCAGGTGCGTCAGGTTCTTGAACGCAGCAAAGCGCATGACGCCGTCCGTCTGAAACTCTGAATCTACCCCCGCCTGCATTTTCCTCGCTCCAAACTTACGGCATTGCCTCCCAGTTTCCCCGTGCGATTTCGTCAGGAAATGGTTGGCGTGCTCACAGTCCGCACTCCAGCGCTGGCAAAGCAACCTTTTTCCAAACCTCTGTTTCCGTCTCCGGCAAGCGGCAATGCCATGCCAACCACCGCTACCTGCCCCGCGCCAAACGAAGATTCTCCGTCATATTAAACTTGCGGTACATATGGAGTATTAAATGTTGATGAAATCAAAAATTAATTGCACAGTTTGATCGTACTTTGCGAGACGAACGTTTTGAGCTTAATTAGTCAACGATTGGACAATAATTCACAAATACAAACAAAACGCTACACTGTCCTACAGTGCTGACACAGTGATTTTGGTTGTCCAAAATCGGGCAACTAAACAAGGGCGAAAGATATTCGTGCAGCCGTGCTCGCCTCGTGTCAGTCGCACACGATTGCCGCGTCCGTGCGGCAGTCTTTAGTTCAGCGACAACAGGCAAAGTTTTTTTTTTCACCCCTTCGGAAGTCGGAACTGTACTGACACGTCTATCTGACCTGGCGTGGATGCAGGCTTCGGCGAGCGCGCGGGTGTACCACGTGACGGACTACGGTGCGGACCCGACCGGCGCCGCCGACGCCACGGCGGCGATCAACAAGGCCATAGCGGACGCGTTCCGCTCGCCGTCCAACGCCACCATGACCGGCGGCATCCCGGACCTCGGCGGTGCCGAGGTGCACCTCGACGGCGGCACGTACCTCATCAAGGGGCCCCTCACGCTGCCGGCATCCGGCGGCGGAAACTTCAAGGTGAAACCGACACGTACCGATCGCCATTTCTGTTTTTTTGCTAATAGAATAAGGTTGCTAGCTGGCTGGCTGGCTACTTCCACTGCTGACACATACATACTCGTACGTCGTTACCGGCGCGTGGTGCAGATCCACAGCGGGTCGCTGCGCGCGTCCGACGACTTCCCGACGGACCGGTACCTGATCGAGCTGTCGGCGTCCAAGAGCAACGGCGGCGGGCGGAGCTACGACTACGAGTACGCCACGCTGCGTGACCTGATGCTGGACTGCAGCTACCGCGGCGGCGGCGTGACGGTGGTGGACTCGCTCCGCGTCGCCATCGACAACTGCTACGTGGCGCACTTCGCGTCCGACGGCATCGCGGTGCGCGGCGGGCACGAGACGTTCATCCGCAACACCTTCCTCGGCCAGCACATGACGGCCGGGGGCGACCCCGGGGAGCGCGGCTTCACGGGCACGGGGATCCGCCTCGACGGCAACGACAACTCCGTGTCCGACGTCGTCATCTTCTCCGCGGCCACGGGGATCATGGTCACCGCGCCGGCCAACTCCATCTCCGGCGTGCATTGCTACAACAAGGCCACGGGCTTCGGGGGCATGGGCATCTACCTCAAGATCCCGGGGCTCACGCAGGCGTGGATCAGCAACTCCTACATGGACTACACCAGCATCGTCGCCGAGGACCCCGTGCTCCTCCACGTGTCCGGGTCCTTCTTCCTCGGCGACGCCAACGTCGTGCTCAAGGCCGTCAACGGCGTCGCCAGGGGCGTCCAGGTCGTCGGCAACATCTTCAGCGGCCGGGATAAGGGCGTCGACATCGTCCAGCTGGACGGCAAGTTTACCACCGTGGACCAGGTGTACGTGCAGCAGAACTCCGCCACGGGGATGACCATCAAGTCCACCTCGGCGCGCGCGTCGGCCGAGGGCAACGGGAGCTCCTGGACGCTCGACTTCTCGCCGGTGCTGCTGTTCCCGGATCGCATCGGCCACGTGCAGTACTCGTTGGTCACCGGCGACGAGTTCCCGGGCCACACGCTCCGGAACGTGTCCGGCAACCAGGTCGTCGTCGCCACAGACAAGGCCGTGTCAGCCACGGTTCACGTGCTGGTGGACCAGAACAGCGACTGAGATGAGAATGAGATGGTGCGTCGAGGCACTCCAGCGTGCGTGCGTGCGTGCGTGCTGCTGCCTGCTCGTGCGGCTGCTGCGAGCAAGGCGTTGTTATTCGTTCGTTTCTTCTTGCATATTTCAGCCATTCACATTCATGTCGTCAGGAAGATGGCAATTGTTTGATCGACAAAATGCTCCAGAATGGATCATTTTTTTGCTGTCTGAAATGAAATGACCCAGAAGCTCGATTAATCTGCGCATGAAGCTTGCTGGTTAGCAACTTAAACATGCAATTAATTCTGAAAAGTGACAAAAAAGAAACAGGGAACCACTTTCACTTGCAGTAGTAGATCTTTGGTGACATGACAATGTCATGATCCATACCTGGCCAGTCTGTTTTCTGGTCACCAGTCATTCTCAGATGTACCAGAAAATGGCCCTCAAATCATGCAAGCTTCAATCATTTTCTCCATTCCAATTCAGAAACGTAGCCCGGGACCAAGCTCTGAAAGTTCCTAAAACACTTCACCTGCTTTTGTCAAGGGAGTGATAGAGTGGGATGGGTATAGATGGCCAAATGGACGGTCCACTATGACAAGACCATAGTACTATTAGGTACAACACTACTCAACACCATGACCTATTCGTGCCATGCCATTGCCATGTTGGCACGCCCGTGCCACCTTCTCAGCCTAGACACGACACTATGGCCCATTAGCTATGCGTGGCGGTATTATTGGCAGGCCTAGAGACACCAATAAGAATTAAAACAGACCTATACAACCTAAAAATAATAATAATAAGTGTTAGCTATGCGTGATGGCATTATTGGCAGGCGTAGAGACACCGATAAGAATTAAAACAGTCATGTAGAACCTAAATAATAAGTGTTAACTAATGCAATTTTGCTCGTTTGTCATGGCCATCTTTACATTTCAAAAAGAATTCATATGCCACTCACCTGAAGTCCATTGAGAATGTTGTCATGTCTATTTTCCTTGGCTTACAAATTTAAGACATATTTGCAAGTTCTCAATAGAACCTCGAAAGGATCTAGTAAGGGCCTAGGGAGGGGGGGGTAGGGTGAGTAGGTCTGGTTCTAAAAACCACGACTAATTCGAAACTGATTGGCAGACCACGGAGTTTCCGAGTATCCCCATGGAACCTCTGTGTCGCGAAGGTTCTAGACAGATGCTCGAAGCCTCCACGCAATAGAGCACACAACTTATAATAGTGGAATACAATGAATGAAACTTGAATCGATTGTTATACCAGTCCTCCTAGAGGTTGTGTTGAGCTATCCAAACAAGTGGTTGCACCTAGAACTTGTGAAGCAAGTAGATCGGGTCCAAACCCTAGAAATGCAATTGAAACAAAAGTAATTGCAACAGATGCACAACACACAAGAGACACAATATTTATCCCGTGGTTTAGCTTGCCACTAAGGCTTGACTAAGTTCGCGTTGTTGAGGGAGCCACAAAGGCTTGGAGTTTCTTCCAACTCCTACCTTTTCTCAAGACCACCACTGAGTAGTGAGCTTGAGGGTTCCACTAAGCAAATCTAGGAAATACAAACTTCCCGGAGAACCTCACAAAGCTTGGAGTGCTACATGGGCAACCTTTAGTCGGCTAGGAGCCTTTCCCCAAGAGTAACAAACACCACCAGCGGCTAGGGTTTTGCCAAGTGCTAAAATGGGAAGGAGCTTTCTCTTCTCTAGCTTCTCAAGTCTCTCTCAAGGCCAATCACCACAAGGAATCACTAAGATATGGAGCTTGGTGGTTGGGAGCATCAATGGAGGAGAGAGAAGTGAGTGCTGGTCGGATGGGAATAAATGTTGGAGAAGATGACCATTGGGGAAGAGAGGGGAAGGTATAAATACCCCTCAACTCCCGTAGAAACGACCGACCAGGCAGAGCGCAGAGGCTCCGCCCATAATACGCGGAGATTTCATGCTTGTGTTGGAGATTCTACGCAAGCTAGAAAAGATATGAAAGCGTAAGCTCGTGGCTATGGTAGCTAGACTGGATGTTTCTATGTATTGTATAGGATTGTGAACACTTGGTTCATCCTAGCTTACCAGTGATATCCCACTTTCTAGTATGGCTTGTCCTATATGCAATTTCAAAAGATAAAATGTATTTAAACTATTCCTCTTGAGCTTCCAAGCCAATCCCTTTGAAATGGGGATCTGTTTTTACATGACATGCACCCACGATGATTAATGTGTTGTCAACAATTAACAAAAGTCATTAGTCCCTTAATTGTACGGTCAATATCACCAAAACCCACTTAGGGCTTGATTGCACTTACAAAACCTGCGCAATTGTGGCAACTTACTTAGAGTCACCGATGTATCATGGTTCTAATGGTCTCTCATTGACTCTAATATATTTTAAATTGTTGAGAATAGCACTGCATACTTCATGGCAAATAAAGAGAAATCTAGAAAGTTCTAAAAGGAGATAGAGTTCTCTTGGATGATTCTAGAACTTGGTTCATATGGCAAATAGAGAAGAGTGTAGAACCTAAGAATATTTTAGAGCATGGACACTTGTCATGTTGTCCATGGCTCACCTACCTCTCTATATACAGGGGTTCTCCCCTCCCTCATACCATAACATACAAGGTCATAGGTAGCCACTATGAGTTGTTGTGTCATGCCATGTACCCCCAAGGGCATAGTAGATGTGTGTAGGATAGCCACTCAAAGAACAGAACATTTCTTCAACTCACACTTATTATGCATATATGTATCAACGAATAGTGTCTATTTACAATTTGTTATTGGAGCAGAACTGTAGGATCTCTGGAACGCCTAGAGGGGGGTGAATAGGCCTATAAAAATTTAACTCAAACCAAAATCAAATTCACCCGCGGCACTGCCGTTCTGTGAGCGTGGCACTGTCGCACCTGCAGGAGAGATTAGTTCACGGTTCAAAATCTACCCAACGAAATTTAGATTGGGTACATTTCTTAGCTTCCTACAGAGTAGTAGATCACAGACCGACAGCTGAAAGTGGTGGGAACACCACACACAAGTAGATCGGCCTCAAACTCTAGAAATCACCTCAACAACAACAAGAACACAAGTGTAGCAGCACAAGCACAAGATGACACAAGGATTTATCCCATGGTTCAGCTCGTCACCAAGGCTTGCATATGTCCACGTTGTTGAGGTATACCACTAAGGCTTAGGGATTTGCAACCCTACCTCGTTCTCAACTCAAGAGAGTGAACTCTTGAGATGAGGGGTGATTTTACTCGCTGCAAGAGGTGGTTACAAACCTTCTAGTGCTGCCACAAACTTGGCAAGCTCACCCAGCGACGCTCTAGCCGGTTAGGAGCCAAGCTCCAAGAGTAACAAACACAACCGTCGGCTAAGACGTGAACCAAGTGCTCTTTAGAGTTTAGGAATCAATGGAGCTGCTCTCTATTCGAGTTTTGGATCATTTTCCCTCAAGGATTGATGGAGAAATCAATGGATTTGTATGAAGGCTTGATGTCAATAATGGAGTGAGAGAGAGAGAGCGCTCCTGCTCTGTTTTGGCGTGCTAAAGTGAGGAAGACGAGAGCCGGTTGGTTACCATTGGGAAGGAAGGGGAAAGGTATATATATACCCCCAGCCCCTAACGGTCACTTTAAATCGCAGATAGCCATTAGCGAGGAAAAGGAAAGGTATATATACCCCCAGCCCTCAACGAACACTACACCCAAGAGGTCGAGGCGAGACGAGGCCGCGACCAAAGGGTCGGGCGAGCCGGAGCCCACAACCTTAGGGTCGGGCGAGATGGAGCCCGTGACCAAAGGGTTGGGTGAGACGGAGCCCACGACCTTGGGGTCGGGCAAACCGGAGCCCTCGCCCAAGGGGTCGGGCGAACCGGAGCCCGCACCCAAGGGGTCGTGCGAGTTGGAGCTCGCACCCAAGGGGTCGGGCAAGTCGAAGCTCGCACCACGCAAGACAACAAGGGTAATAGAGAAGTGGAGACTGTCTTGGCTGTGAATCTGAGGATGCTTGTGGTTGTTTAAGCACTTGGTAGCACATATTAGCTTAAGCATTGTGCCCCCCTTTATAGTATGGTTTTTCCTTTACTCAAATTCAATATATAAAAGAATTTAAACCTCCTTTGAGTTTGAAGCCATCTACATTTATAATTGGGGGCTCCTCCATTTCGTGTAGCATCCTCGAATATAAATTCCCTGCTTGTCATCTCGATAAATCTTATTAGTTCTCTAATTGCATGGTCATTATCATCAAAACTCACAATTATGGCTTGATTGCACTTTCAGGAAAGCATAGGAAACAAGTAGCAATTAGGATCCTATGGCACCGGGCAACCTTTTCGATAATTATTTGAATATCCAATCTTTTGCTAGCTTTTATATTTGTGCATAGTTTGCCCAGTTTGCCCTTTCCGAGATGATTGTTTAGCTTTCTTTGACAATATGCTTGTTGTTTTATGTTATTCTAAATGGTCGAGATGATTCGGTATATTTGCAAAATCATGAAACTTGTAGCGGCCACATGTTGTATCATGATTTTTTTACAGTATCTGTGTGATTGAAATTCAGTATCCTGTTCATCTGCCAAACCAAGGCTTTAGTTTAAATACCGAGGCCATCAGCTTTGACAAGAACTGTTCAAAAGATGTGGTTACATTGGGTCGTGACAAAGAGACCCATGACTTGGTGATTAATACAGATTTAACTGTGAAGAACTTTTAGTATCAACTTGCAGAATTTCAAAGGTGGGTATGAAATGTATTTGCTCTGATACGATGTTTTTTCCACACACAAGGGCCTGGCCCGAATTTTATTACTGAAGAAAGCAATGAAATTACACGCTTTGATCTGATGTTACTTGTTACACTACTTATTTGAATTTCATCTAATAAATCTAATAATTATTTATTGTTTTGATACCTTTTTTTGTGCCTTTCATGGTGTACCAGGCATGTTTTCAGCTGAAATTTGCTCACTGGGTCTTCACAACTCAAAAGATCTAACAAACATTGCAAGT